TGCATATTTGCTTTACTACACAGTAAAATACTAAAGACAGAAAAAAATAATAAATCTAAACTGCCACAAGTGACAAGAATTTAGAAGCCGTGACCTATTTGGGGTCAACTGCCTGATCAGAAGAAACTCTAATGATATGCACAATTCCATTTTTAAAGGTAATATAACAAGCAACATGTTAGAGTAAGCAGCAATTCAAATTAATGTAAATTAGTGAAAATTTCTAGAATGAGAAAAAAACAAAACTTTAAGTTCAAGGGCATGTACACAATAAAGTGCTTCACAATTTGCAATAAAAAACCTTTTAAACTTAATAATAAAATTATACACTTAAAACTGATTTAAGTAACAAAAGTCTGCAATTTTAAATCACTCTTCATTTTCTACATGGTTGAATTCCAACCCAAGGCCTATGAAAATAGTATTATTTTGTTATAATGCAGAAGTTCTTTAGAATAATTGAAAAATATTGCTCAAGAATGAGGTCATATTAAAGGATGCTTAATTTTAAAACATAATTAGATTGGAAAGTTCAAGAGAGTACATTAAAAAAAAATAAAAATATTTTTTAAAAAGTTTTAGACTACAAAGTATAAGACTACTTTTACCCTACCTGCTTCTTAGGACATCAATGTATCACTCTTGTATAAAGTCTGAATCTCTGAGCATGGATTCAGCTGCTTGTAGCACTTACTGAAGGCTTACTATGAATAACGCAAGCTTTTAAGCACTTTCCATGCACTACCTCACAACTACCTACCTTAAGAAGTACGTCAAAATCATTATTTCCATGAGAGTACAATCTTACCTTCAGACTTTTTGTCACGTGTATTAATTAAATACTTTCAATGCATAAGCCACTGTTAGGTTTTCTGATATTATAGCTCAAAACACTAACTGATAAACATAATGAAACAAATTATTACTCAAGACACATAGGTAAAGGCTGCTATAGAATCCTTAAAAAACAGCTCATCCTGTTAAAATCCTAGCAAGTCTAATTAGAATAATTTAAATATTCAGTATCAATTGACATATATAGCCCCACCCACTCCTCCATGAGTTTTCAAATAGATACTCACCAGCAGTCTGTGCAGGATTTATTCCTATTCCATCTAGAAAATCAGTTGTAAAATTACATAAGTTATTTCTAAAGCTAACATGGTTTAGTAGCACCAAGAAGAGATTTGCCAAAATAGTGCTGCTGTGCTGCTGTGTATACAGGCACAGGCCAAACAATTTAAATCCCATGTCACACAGGTGATAGTTTTTCCAGTGAGTTATCTATCTGTTGAAATCTACTATTATTATGCATTCATACCCATTGCTGGATTAGACAAGAATATCTTTCAACAGAATGATCTTGGCAAGTTCTATGGAAGAGAGGTGTTTAATTCTATTTTGTCACATAGAGTGAAACATATTTGTCATTTCTTCCAAAAAGCTAAAAGCACTTAGGTAGGCCATTAACCATCTCCATATTGCTCTGAGGCATCATGGGAGAGGCCACAAAGTCATCTAGCTCAAGTCCCACCGACACTTGAAAGTTTCAAAGCATATTCCTGAGTCTTATTTAGTGCAAACCTAAAACTTTCCAGAAAGTAGGCCAGCATTCTTCTAAACACAGAAACACTCAATATTTCTGCATGCTGTCACATAAAACATGTGAAGGCATGGAAAATATTTTCGAGTAAAAAATTCTGTCTTATCTAAGTCACATCATGCACATTAAGTCCATCTCCTCTTTCTCCTAACTGCACACAGACCACTCACCAGCACCCATCAGTATCACTCTGCATATGTGACAGATAGTTAAGCCCTCCCTGCAATCTTCACTCTTCATCGTATTATTTCACTATTTTTTCATAGGACTAGTTCTATTATATTTTATTATCATTATTATAAGATATTCAGATTTTTAATTATATACCTGACTGAATAAAATTCCCATTATTACAAGCCTCTAAGAAACAGTTTTCTGTCAGGAAAGGGATTGCAAGGTATAGCAAAGGCACATTTTGCTTAACTTTCCATATTCTACAGCATTTACTAATATAATTTTACTATTTAAAAAAAAAGACTTTTCTAAATAAAAAAATAATCTTCAGTAAAAATCTGCCATGAAGTGATAAGGACACAAGATATCATAAACTGCCATACCATATCAAAAGCACAAAAAAAACTGAAAAGAGCTAATGATGAATAATAACCCTTAGTATTTACCATTAAGTATATCATTAAGTATACCATTAAGACATGTATTTCAAGCTTTTTGTATATGTAAGTCAATTTTAATTTGGTTCATTTTAAACAATTTCCATATATCTGAGGCAATAAATAATCTTAAAATGAATTCTTACCATTGGTAATAATTGCACTTGTTGCAGCAGGAACTTTAAACTAAAAAGAAGAAAACATATATGCAGTTGTATTATAAAAGATGATCAGGAAGGCTAGGATACATATAATGAATTCTATAATTCTAAAATGTGATTTATCTTTTAGAATAAATGGCATCAAGAGAAAGTACAGTTGACCCTTGAACAACACAGGAGTGGGGGTCCACTTATACACAGATTTTCTTCCACTTCTGCCTCCCCGGGACAAAAACAACCCCTCCTCAGCCTACTCAATGTGAAGGCGATGAGATGAAGACTTTTATGATGATCCACTTCCACTTAATGAATAATAAATCTATTTTCCTTATGGTAACATTTTCTTTTCTCTAGCTTACTTTTTTGTAAGAATACAGTATATAATCCATATAATATATAAAGTGTGTGTTAATCGACTGTTTATATTGTTGACATGGGTCTGGCAACAGCAGGCTATTGGTAAAGTTTCTGGGGAGTCAAGGTATATGTAGATTTTAAACTGCACAGGGGTTGGTGTTCCTACCCCCTATGTTATTCAAGGGTCAACTACAATATAATCTGCTCTATCTTTGAAAAACAACCCATATTCTAAATAATGCATTTGACTGAATTTAGGACACCACTGATTGTAAAATGTACCTTATTTTATGTATTACAAAAAAAGGACAAACACTGTCAATCTATGACCCAATCAATATTTGCCCAGACTTAGCCATGTCACTTTTATCATATATAATTCTCCTACATAAGCAAAAAATGTAAGCAAAATAAATCGATGAGATTATTTCCAAAATTTCTTCAAAAAAAAAGGCAAGCTCCAAACAGATGCTTTGTTGTGTTTAAAGGCAGGTGCCTACAGAAGATTTTCAGGTAACAACCAAGGCTTGTATTACTTAAATTCTCCTTAAATGATTTGTTGACTTAAATCTCAGGGGATTGCAATAGTCCAATTATGTCAGCAGGAAATAACAGCTAAGTTCAGTTAGGCACACACAATGTTACCTGGACAATTAGGTAACTTCCATATGGCCAACAGGAATAGCAAGCCTCTCTTAATCTATTTCAGAGATGGTATAAAAAGATGTGCTTTCTGAATTAATAAACTTAATGGTAGTTAAAAGGTAGATTCCAGCTCTTAATGCTCTAGAGACCAGCAGTTGCCAAGGTGTGTTTACATCTTCACAGTTTATTAATTTATCCAACAAATTTTTATTAAGCATGGCTGTGTTATGGGCTAATTTTATAGATAGTATAGTTAGGTTTTATGATCAAGTTTGGAAAACACATTAAACTAGTGGTCTTCTCAAAGCCTTTAATATAGAGCTAATACAGTATACCTCCAACAAAAAAACAGTAAATGAAGTGTATACCACACTTTTTGGCTACTAACCCCAGTTTTTCGTGGCTTTTGTTTTTGGGTTTTTGTTTTGGTTTTTGGTGATACTAGTTTTTTTGTGTGTGGTTTTAGTTGTCTAGAAAACACTGCTCTAGGCATTTATAATGGTCATATAAACATAGCTGAGAAAAACAACTAAAAGCTTATTTTAAATCACAAATTGAAGAATCAAGTTTTAAAAGAGCCATGCAGAAGAATCACCACTTGTTACAGTATTATGCACCTAATAAACAATTTTACTCTCAATGTAGTACATTCTTAATTATAAACATCCTTTTAAGGATTTAAGACTTTTAAAGAACTTTAAAATGCACTTAAATAATTTTTAAAATACCTAAAAAATACTTTACAGAAGGTATAATCTCAATAAAACAACTTCTTTCTTTCTTTTTTTAAAAGAGACAAGGTATTCCTATTGCCCAGACTGGAGTACAGTGGTACAATCATAGCTCACTGTAGCCTTGAACTCCTAGGCTGAAGCAATCCTCCCACCTCTGCCTTCTGAGAACCTAGGACTACAAATGCACACCACCACACTCAGCTAATTTTTCTATTTTTTGTAGATACAGGGTTGAGGTCTCACTATGTTGCCCAGGGCTGGTTTCTAACTCCTGGCTTCAAGTGCTCCTTCTTGCTCAGCCTCCCAAGGTGCTGGATTATAGGTATGAGTCACTATGTTTGGCCTTCAATAAAACTCTGATCAAATACTCAAATTAATTATAGAACTCTCAGATTTTCAAGACTAAAATCCTACAAAGTTTTCAGTTACCCTTCTGAGTATTCCTCTTTGACCATGTCCATTTTAAGATAAGCTATACATTTTCTTAGTCACATCCATAGTGGCAACATATTTTATGAACTTAAAAAAAAAAACACAAAAGCAACTGCTAATACTTTTTTCTGTGGGTAGAATGTGAAAGCAATGGGTGACCTGAAATTAGGGGAGGAAACACTAGTTATGTAAAATATAGTAACTACTCTTTTTTATCCTACACTACTGACAAGTTTTCTCCTAGATGCAAAGTTTATTTTATGATCCTCAATTTTCATTTATTTTCTTATTCAGATCTCATAATTCTTATAACTTAGGATGTTACGAGGGTCTTTTCAGGTTTTGACAACTCATTACTTAGTTAACTGAATTCCCAGTCAAGTGTTGGGAAATTCTACTATTGCTTATTAAAAGACTTTTACCAGGGATTTAAATCCATACTTTTGGTTTGTCAAGTTAATGTTGGTTCTCACTGAAAGATGCCACAGTGCCATCTTCTAAAAGTCCCTCTCACCACTGCTTGAAAGTCATATCTTTACTACATGTGTAACAGTCATGATTCATAATAATTATAAGCCACATTAAAACCCTACTATACATGGAGACGTATGAAATTTGTTAGCTTATTTTCTATTGCACATCTGTTAGGATTTTCTTTTACCTTCATTAGAAGACCGATACAACTTTGCTATAGCATAAACCTAAAGAGCTCATGTAGAAATGGTGGGTCAAAGTGCATGCAAATTTTAAAGATTTTTTAAACATACTGCCAAACTGCATTCCACAAAGACTGTTACAATTTCCATACTTACTTCTTCTGCTGCAAACTTTAAGACTGCTGTGAAAGGTGTACTTTCAGGAACACTAAGTCTGCAAGAAGAATTTTAAAACAAAGTTGATGTTTTTTAAAAAAGTCCCTTTGTTCCTACTGTAGCTGACCAGGACAAAGCTGTCTTTTAGTTTCAAAGTTAGCAATTTTGACTGCATACTATATTCATTAACTCTAAATTAAAAAAAAAAAAAAAGGCAAATAACCTTAAAGCTGAGATGGTGCTCCAAATTCCACTTGAAAATTAACCCTCTCTACAACGTATAGGTATATACATTTCTAAGACCTGGATACAATTAAGTCTGGCATACAGGCTGCTGTTTGCTTTCTAGAGATGGATTTTAAAAAGTTGAATCGCTCCTTAGTCTTCCCTCCACTTTACCACCTCCGTTCTAAACACCTTTTCACTGGGGCAGTAATGTTACCATTTTTGTTGTTAAGTAGGGGCTGCCTGGGAAGCATCATTGGGTCATAAAGCTTTGATGAACCCTCCTGTGTACTATTAATAATAATAATGTCTAAAATACAAATAGTAGATCAAATTGATGAAAATAAGTTTTTATTTTAGAAATATCGATAATGAAGTGACTTTTCTACATTTTATACCTCCATGTGAAACAGGTTTTAGCATAATCTAAAGTAATAATTTAAAAAGGGAAGTATAATTTTGGTAATTGACTTGCATAATGGCAAGCATATTAAAGATCACCAATAAAGATCTTTTTTAATGACTTAGCCCCAGGATCAATCTGTTTAAATTTTCCAACTTAAAAACTAAAAAAGAAATTTACATTATACTCTAAGAAAATAAAGACACAGTAAGTGGTTTAAAAATAAGTAAAATAAAGAAATAAGACTCTTAAGGTAAAAAGTTACAATGATTAAATCAGAAACTGATAATCTTTCAAAGCAGAGAAGACGGACCGCAAACTAACATTCCTCTTTGAAATTTCTCTAATGTCACCACCATTTTATTGTATTAATGTCTTAATACCAACTACCATTATGAAACATTCTCATGTAAATGTCAGGTTCCTTCTTGGACTACAGATCTCTGAATATAAGAATCATTATGTCAGCCACAGCATATTATATTGGCTTTTTGTAAGGGAAGTATGAACAGATTTCTTAGTTGTCCCCATTCCACTCCTCCAAAAAACTATTAAAGAATGAAAATGAGTATCATTTTCCCCCTTTATTTCCTAATTTTTAGGGGATGCAGAGAATAAAAACAAAATTCTAAAGGATAGACATTTGTTTAAAAAGTATCTAATAAGTTGGCAATGTGATAGTTTCCAAATAGGCAACAATATTTTGAATGTATTTCTGTAGTACATGTATAGTTCAGAACCTGAGATTGATTTCCCTGAAACTCTATCTCAATAGGAAAACTTCAAAAACCTTGAGGTTCAATTCACTTTCCAATTGGAGACTTGGAAATGTCTTTTCATTGTAACTAGATGTCATACTTATGTTCATGAAAATAAGTTTCTACCTGTATATTAAGTTAGTGAGACTGTCCAGCAAGCCAATAAAACATAAAATGAAAATATCTTTTAATACATGTTTTAATCGGCAGAAAATTGGTACAGAGGAAATGAGAGTCATGATGACATATAGACCTTACGTAGATTTGAAGCCAATGTATTTCCCAGTCAACATCATTTCATAAAATTGGCATTTAAATTATACTAGTGTTTTGAAAAAAATGGGAACCATCCTTTTTATTAAAGTGAATTTTTAAAGTGAATTACTGGCATCATTTGTTCTTTTAATAAATATCTCATATAGGCTGGGTATGATGGCTCATGGTACATTTATAGATTAAAAAGCAGTGTGGTCAATGGATTAAAAGAAACATTGTAGAGGAGATATTACAGCAAATTGCTAGAAGAGACTATAGTTATCCATAAGAGAGTGCTTGAAAATGACATTTTAGAGATGGAACAATTTTTGGAGATTTTTAGGTTCTAGGCTGTGACCATGAACATTTGAGATAAAATGTAACAAATGGTATTTTGGAGGAAAAAAGATCAAGAGAATAAAATTTGGGAAGTTGCATGGGTCATGGATGCGGTAAATCACTGAAATTGATGGCAGCTGTTATCTGTTGATTTAGGGATACTAAGTGTATTAATTATGCATAAAATCCTATTGAAGTCTTGTTCTTCACTACATTTTACATGACTTCCAGCTGCAATAACCTCAACAGTGTTTACCTAAAACCATAGGAAGGTCCAGATTAAGTATGTGGTTGGATCTGTTTTAATCCATAAGGCCCCACATAGATAAACTGCCCTATTTCCACATTTCCTGCTCCTACTACACACTCTTAATTAAATCCCAACATAGAAAGTGTATGTGATGTCCAGCTGTTGAGTCACTCGCACACAATGAAACCAGAAGCCTGACAGTAACAAGCGTTCAAGTAATTTCAGCGTCTTTGTCGGTACATTTTCCCTAACTTCTAACAGCTGGTCAGAGCGGTGAAAGGCCGTTCTAATCTCCAGCAGACAGGGACTGTTTAAGAATCCCAGCAAATTACCGAAGTCCTGTCCACATGGTCTCCGGCTCCACCTGCCCACCAAATGAATTCCGAGGGGAGGCCACTAACCAGAAGAAACACACCCACACCCTAGCGCCCCGGCCAAGCGGACACTTAGGGAGCAAGTATGGAACCTCTCCTCTCAGGCTCCTGGAAGGGCGCGGGCAGGGTCAGAGAGAGGGAAGGGATGAAGACTGCATGGGGTGAGAGTTGTCCGAAAGGTCTAGATGACCCCCAGCCCAGCCCCGTCCCCCGGGACCCCAAGAGGCCCGTCTCAGCCGAACTACTCACACTTTGTAGGGCAGCCGTGGGTCCGACGTCAGCGTGATCTTAAAGGAAACTTTCGACCTGAGGAAGACAGCGAGAGAGAGTTAGGGTCGGGCAGCGGGACCTGGGATTAGGGTGGTTGGTAAGCAAACACTTACATGGTGAAGTTGGTCTGAACAGAGAAACCACGCCAACTTCTCCAAGAGGCCCTACTTCCTGCTCAGTGCGGAGACCGCCCCACCCCACTCAGATCCACGTTTCTTTCCGCAAACTGGGGGCCTTCACAGTTGCAGTTGTCCAAAGTATTGCCTGAAAAATAGGCCAGAAATGTCATGCTATAGGGAGCCTCCAAGTTACAAGAAGCTACTAATTTTGCATATATTTATCTGAGGCAAAAGTATAGGTCCATATGTAAATAACATATATCTAACTTTATCATTAGTTGCCATATTTTTAGTCAGGCAGCACAAGTGTGCGCATAGGAAGTAGGTCTCTCGGTCCCAGCTGGCAGGTTGGGGCGGAAGTAAGGGTGTGGGGGAGGCGGATGAAGAGCGAGATGGACTCGGGGCGGGACTGGGGGCGGAACGGGGGCGGGACTTGGGCGGACGCTCTCCAAAGTTGCTAAGGCAACCTGCACGCTGGAACGCTTGATTGATGCTCTAGAAACTGGAATCTTAACCTGCTTTATCATTAGGTTTTTTCTGCCTTTCCAGCCACCCAATCCTGTTATATCTTTTACATTCTTCATATTTTTGCCTTCACACTTTACTTTCCAATACTATTTTCTAAGTATTTAATTTCAACAGATAAGAAAGCTATCAAGAGCGAATTCTGTATGCCAAGACTCCTGCTAAGGTTGTTGAGAAAAGACAAGATTCCTGCAATTAAGGAACTTGGCAAATAGTTGGAAAGGCCAATGAGTGAGCAAGAGATTTCAATAGTTTGTTATATGTTCCAATAGGCTTAAACCATTGCGCTAGGTTTTCAATCATCAGCCACATTTGTTCATTTTAACAACAAAATTTGAACACATTCTATGTGCCAGGCACTAATTGAAATGCTGGGGGCCCAAGATGAGTAAGACAGGTAGGTGCCAACCCTTTAAGATCTAACAGTCAGAAGTTCCTGTATAGTGAGGGAAGAAAACTGTCTTCTAAGCTGTATTACAAATCTAAACATCTGTGTTTGAAAAGTAACCTTCCCTCTCACAATGACTGTAATGCCTTTTAAAAGAAATATTGCAATGAATAGGCAAAGCAGAAAGCAGGTAAGCACTAAAATAATAAGGAAATCTAGTTAATTTTAAAACTATGTTAGATTTTTAAGGAGAGAGATCTAAGAGAGGAATAGGGAAGGAACTGTACTGCAAATAATGAAGACTAATTTCATCTTTGCCATAATTTTATAGCAGACTGATCTCCCATGGAGAGAGTTCTGATGTGGCTGTAGGAAAGTAAGAATTCAGTATTCTCTTGACAAATGTTGTCTTCAATGTAAAAACTGTAGGTCTTTCCATATAGAGAGGTGAAGGCAAATATTAATTAATAGATTTGGGTACCAATAGTTAAAGATTTAATAGCTAAAACTATAGAATTAGTGGGAATGACTAAGATTTTTAAGACTAGCAATAAGGATAAAATCACTGATTGTGTCTACCTGGTGTCAGCTGGCCAAATAATATCGAAAGAGATTAGTGTACATACTTACAGTCTCTATTTCTAAGAATATATATTATATTAATACATTTTAAACAAAATTTGCACCTTGCTATTTATACTTCGATATCATCTCATGTATTAAAAACATGTGGCAAAATCCTAAAGATAAAGACATATTTCGATCAGACAGTTTTTATTGTTTGTATTAAAAGTAGTGAATACAGGATTCAATCCTAGGCAGTGTGACTTCAAAAATCTATTTGTATAATACATTATATCAAAATAATAAGAAAAAATATTGTATTCTCAAAAGATATTAAAAAGTACCTAATTCCTAAATATTTAGAATTCTTTCCCTCCTCAATCCCTCAACTCTGCTCCTTATGTGTTTGTCTCCTGAGAGAGCCTTCTGCGTTTTATTTTTCCTGGGACATGAAAATAAATTATAAATGGATTCATTCATACTCAACATTTTGATTTTTTTTTAACTTTGTTAAGGCATTTGCAATTGAAAAACTTTATAGTAAAAGAAAGATCTTCTCATTTATGGACAAGTGAACATGTTGAAGTACATTTAATGACTAATCAAAAGCAAACTCTGGAGAAAATTTTAGGAGGTATTTGGCAAATGTAACATTTTAAGACAACAAACAGCATAAATGGCTTAATGTGTTTTGGAAGAGATCCAATTAGCATCATGTAGAGGCAGAAATGATTATAGAAGTGCACAGAACTCATTAAATGTCAATGAAACATACCAATATTTTATTTGCAAATACATATAAATCTATTATTAGAAAGAGATCAGAATTAAATTAAATTTATATGAGGACTAAAATGATTTGTTTACACAGTCATAAAAGTTCTTCTTACCACTTATATCTGTAGCCAACTATAAATAAAATAGAAAACATGTTGATTTTGTGTGCCAAAAAAATTTTTCTTTCTGATTTTTTCACCCTGATTTAACTGTATTTATGGTTATGAATAAAAATACCTGATAATGAAATTATGTAATCTTGAAAAGTTTACAATGGAATAAATCTTATGATTCCCTATTCCAGATATTTCACAATTACAGGGAAAAAAATTATAGCCTGATCAATAATAAATGGATATTTTTATAGTAGTTTAATTTAGTCTTTTTGTTCTTTTCTCCTCTCATAATCCACTAAACGGCATTGATATAATTGGGGCAATGATGAAAATCGTGGTCAAAATTCATCAAGATTTATTTTGTGCTAGATATTATATTAAGCACTTTATCAAAGTAAAATCACAAAATATAAACTTTACACTTCAGTTGGCTTTAAGTTACAACTAAGTGACAAGAAGCCTTATGCAAAGAGGAGAGTGGATCTGGTAGACAGACATACTTGGAAATATGTAAATGCTGTGTTGGTTTTCAAGGTAAGGCTTAAAAGGGAATGTTTACATTCTTGTTAGCAAAGAACAATGAAAAACAAGTGAGATTGGTCAGGCAATGCCTTTTCAGAGAATTATAACTATAAATGTGCTGCACTAGATTATTACAGCTACACACCATTCCCAAATATTTTCTAAAAGTTAACGAGGAAAAAAGTGAGTTTTCAAAGGAAGATTATTGATTGTGTGACTATAACTCTTGTAAAGTGAGGCTTAATCGTTAAACTTAAAATATTTTAATCACAGAATTTGTAAAATGCCTTTAATTACAAAAAGGCATTTTAAATTGTAAAAAGCAAAATTTAACAGTCTTGTATAATTACATTTTCTTTCCACATACTGTGTGAATTCTTTGTTTAATGGAAACATTACTTGTTAGAGAAATTAGACTCTGAAAAATGTTACAAGAATTTGGTTTCTTCCACATAAATACTTATTTTTAGCCTTATAACAAGTATATAAGGCAAATACTATTAATTTACCATTTTCAAGACAGGAAAGCAACACATAGAAATTAAATAACTTATCCTAAGTTTAGGAAGGTGTTTGAAATGAGATTGAACTTGATGTCTGATATTAAAACCTGAATTTTAATCTCTATAAGAGGTTAAAGGCCTATATCCCTAAATAACATATTTAAGTAGCAATAAGTAATTCTATAAAGTAGAAGATATTGTTATTCCTGTTTCACAGATAAGAAAGCTAAGACTCAGAAAGACTAAGTAACTTTTTCAAGATTCCACTACTGGTAAAATAACAAAACTGGGATTAGAACCCTAGTAGGCTGGATCCACAGCCTACAGTCTTCAACATGATAGGCTATAAATTTGTGAGTCCCTTGCTTATCAATGTTATTTTTATGCCATAGATATTCTTTTTTCCCACTTCAGCTTCAAAGTCACTTAGAATTTCTTATACTGTGCCAGAAATGAAAATTTTTATTTTTTCCATATAATCATAGAAATATTTTTATATTAAGTTGGAAGGGAATTCAAAGGTAATCTATAATATATGCCAAAAAGTATTTTGAAAGTAAATCAGGGCCTTTTTGGTTGCTAAATAATACAGGCTGGGTGTGGTGGCTCACACCTATAATCCTAGCACCCTGGGAAGCCGAGGTGGGAGGATTGCTTGAGCTCAGAAGTTCAAGTGCAGCCTGACCAAGGGCCAGACCAAGTCACTACTAAAAATAGAAAAATTAGCCAGGCATCATGGAACGTGCCTGTAGTCCCAGCTACTTAGGAGGCTGAGGCAGAAGGATGGCTTGAGTCCAGGAGTTTGAGGTTGCAGTGAGCTATTATGACTCCATTGTACTCTACCCAGGGCAAGAAAGTAAGACTCTCTCAAAATAATTACTGTATTTTGCTCTGTATTCCTTGCTATAACTTTCCTTTCTCTGAGGTACTGGAGTACAAGTGTCTTTAAACAGAAGAAAGAATAATGAAGTAAAGAGAATAAAACTATGTAATACTTGGAAATATTTTCCTGATACCTTTCCAGTGAATTATACAACCAGTTTGGGTAAAACAAGTCTTCCATGTTTCCTGTCTTCTTATTCTGTTCTCGTTCTAGTACACAGTGATATATCCTTTGACTGTCTTAAATATTCTAGCAATTTTATTATTGATGAAAGCAGGTATTCTTTAAAACCTCACAGAAGGAAGGCTATCTTTATTGGTGAGATGGATTCAGGGACATTTACATACTTCCTGTTAGGTATAATATAAAACTCTATGCAATCAGATTTTTTGTTTTGTTTTTGTTATACTCCTCACTGGTTAGGAAAAAAAGGATGCATTTCTAACTATGGAGCTCTAGATGAACTTTGGCAAAAGATAATTCTCACTTCAGAAGAGTCCTGTAATCCATCCACTGAAGAATCCTCACTAGTGTATTGATGACAGGTGCACTTTCAGGTGCTCTGCAATGGGTAGGAGGCAGGTTTGGTGGGGGTGGGAGTTCTCATTTCAATCCAAAGTTCTTGTATCAGAGTCTTAATTTATTGATTTATTTTCATATTGACCTATGGGAGAGTTATTTCATAAGTATTACATTTTGTAGCAGAAATGAATTTATAAAATAGGTAAATGGCAAATAAATCCACACAGCAAATGTGTGAAAACGTCTGTCATTTAAAGTCCTATTCTTAATAATGTCAAATAATGATGAAACACATTTAAGAAATAAAACTACAATGACATAAGAAAATAAAAATGGCAGTTAAAGAGATTTAAAAACAACAAAAAATAGAAGACCAATGTGGCCAGATCAACATGTTATTTAGAAAAGAAGCCAATTTATTTAAAAAACAAATTGAAATTAATTATGCTTATAAAAATGAAATGAAAAGAACAATGACATAATTGATGTCGAGTTTAAAAATAGAAGAGTGGAAAATATACTTCAAACTGAAGCATGTTGCCTTCAAATGATAATATA